TACATATTTTTTAAAAGTAAACATTTATTGATTAACTGCCATGTGCCAAGCACTGTGCTAGGTAGTTACATAACAAAACTGAACAAAGCATGGACTTCTAAGAAATAACAGTTGGAGAGAGAGGTAGATTATCAGAAACTTAAAAGGACAGAATAATAAATACAAGAATGGGAATACTAGGAGGTAAGACAGAAGGGATTGATTAACTCTCTATTGGTGCATAGTTGAGTGGATGATCCCAGCTGGCTTCAGTGGACAAGGTTTTGAAGGGCAGATATGGATAAGCAGTGTTAGGATATTTCTTGAAAAAGAAATCAAATATCACAATTTTTTTTAAGATTTAATTTATTTATTTAAGAGAGAGAGAGAGTACACAGAGGGAGAGAGAGGAAGAGGGAGAAGCCGACTCCTCCTGAGCAGGGAACTCAATGTCGGGGCTCAATGTAGGGCTTGATCCTAGGACCCCAGGATCATAACCTGAGCTGAAGACAGACACTTAACCAAATGAGCCAACCAGGCACTCCTCACAAATGATTTTTAATCAAGTTTGATTTCAAGAGAAATCTGAAGAAATAGAATGACATGAATTCTGTGACAAAACTTGAGCCTTTAACCATTAGTTGTGGATCACAGTGAATTGAGAAGTGGATTGAAATCAGTTCTTCAGCACCTCTCCTTGGGGAGCATCTCTTGTTAATGACATTTCCTGGCATTGATCTTCTTCATAAATTTCCAGTTGTGAGCAGTTGCAAAGATAACACCTGTGGGTACTACTTACACAGTGACGAGCATGTGCCAGGCACTGTTCAAAGCACCTATGTACATTCATTCTTTTAATCATCCCAACTACTGTGTATTCTTGAATAGTGTGTAGCAATAAGATATACTTAACTGATGTTTGTGGAGTGAATAGCATCCCATTTTACACATGAGGGAAGGGAGATGCAGAGATGAGCTAAAATGTCTAAAGGTCCCATAGATAGCAAGAGCTGGCATGGGGACCTGGTGACTCAGCACCAGAGCTGACCTCAGATTCTGACCTCAGTGGTCTTCTAAAGTGTGTGCTCTATGAGATTGAAACTAAACCGTGAGTCAACTGCTCTGCAGTTCAAAATGAAAGAGGCAGTCAACCCTGGAATGAACCATTTTTGGGTGCTTGGTAAACAGGGGATTATCTCAGTGACAAGAAGGGAAATATATAATGCAAAGAGAGGTATTAAAAACTTCTTCCCATCTTGGAAGTTTGAATATTTGAGCAGAGTCACTCCCCCTGCCCTTCTAAACCTTCACCCATGAGCAAAATCCACTCTGAAGAGCACAATAACAACACTGTATATTTACTGAGGGTCCCAATTGCTTTACCCCATTACTCAGGGTAGGGACTATTCTTACCCCTCTTTCAATGATGACAAAAATGAGTTAGCAGAGTTAAATGACCTGTTCAAGTCAAACCACAGAGTGTGAATCCAGGATTCATAGTGTTGACCCCTGGTCCCAACCATGCCCTTGCCACATGCTTAATTCAGAGAAAACAGAAGACATCTGAGTTCTGTAGGATTGATCATGAGGAACCAGAGCCGCAGAAATGACCTCTCTCTAGAAATGGCTCTGAGCTAGGAGCTGTCTGGTGAGTTCATGGCTTATCTTTGAGAGTTATATTTTCTGTGAATTTGGGAAACCATACAGGGCTTGGAAGAGTCAGCAGAAAGTAGATGAATTGAAATGCAACTCAGGCTTCTACAGTGTGCCTCAAAATCAGAATTAAGGAATCAGGGTCATCCCTTCGCCTGTCAGCTGAGACTGCTCTTGACCCAACTGTTCCTGGACGAAGGCATTCAGTGTCTATGAGGATGCAGAAGACTCATTCTTAGGGCTGCTTCATATGTAGTCTTTTAATCCCTGCCAGGTCTGTGTTGAGACCATGCTAAATGCCAGATCCTGAGCCACGCTCTGTATGTACATTATGTCATTCCTTCCTGTGTTCCTTTACATACCCATGGGGTATAATACCTATTGAAGAAGTAGTTTTTGCAATGACTAAACTAAGCTCATATGCTCTAATTAGAGCATTAGAGTTGACATTCTGGATTTGTCCTTACTAGCTCTGTGACCATTGAAAAGATACCTGTTTGGCCTCTGTATTATGAGATAACAGAACTTACTTCAAAGACTTGTGATGATTAAAAAGAGCAAATGCATGTAAAATACATGGTAAGTGTTCAGTGAAAAGGTATCTATTATAATTTTCAAGTTTTGGAAACCTAGATTAAGGGCACAGAGCAAGTGGTAGGGAAAGAGTGGAATGTCCCAAGTTTTTTTCCATCCAAGATGGGAAATCCCTGAAAGCATTGAAACAAGGCTCTAGTGGATCAATTCATATGTAAAGTTCATCTATTTCTTATTCATTTACAAAACAGAACAAGACAATCTCCAACTATTATAGCTATAATTACCTTCATTTCTCACTCTGACATAGATCAATTTGTGTGAAATAAAAAGAGAAATGGAATCAGGACTTTATTATCAATGCTGTAGTAGTTTGGGAGTCCATTATTTAATGAATGGAAAACTGTTGCTGTGGATGTGTAGGAGAGATACTCCAACTGCATCCTGTAAAGCCCACATTCTCCAGGCTCCAATGAAGGGATCATAGTTTGTAGAGCTTTCTGAGATACCTAGTATTAAATTGAATATGTGGTCATTTGTGCAGGGATGGTATGAGCTAAGAAAATCAGGTTCACTTAGGTAAGAAAGGAGAGACCATTTAAATAATATCCAATTAGACTTTTTACAGCAAGATAAAACATTGATAAATTAAAACTATTTCCAGGGTGCGTGGGTGGCTTAGTTGGATAAGTGTTTGTCTTCAGCTAGGTCATGATCTTGGGTCCCTTGTGGGTCTTCTTGCTCAGCAGGGAGTCAGCTTCTCCTTCTCCCTCTGCCCCTCCCCTTTGCTCCTGCTCTCTCTCTCTAATAAATAAACAAATAAAATCTTTTTAAAAATGTAAAACTATTTTCAAGTATCTTAATCACTCTAGTTGCTACTATCTATCTATCTATCTATGTATCTATCACTATCTATCTATCTATCTATCTATCTATCTATCTATCATCTATCTACCTATCTATATCATCTATCATCTACACACACTATATGTGTTACAAATAGCATACATATACATATATTATATTTATGTCTATTTAAGCAGTTCCCTAAGGGTCTGTGCTAGCAGATTCTATTTATTTCAGCAAATAATTATGGAGTGCACTCTATGTGCTGCACAGCTTTGTGTGCAGAGATTTTCCTGTGAATGAGACACAGACCTGCCCTTATGGAACCTCTGGGCTGCAGAGGAGATAGAAAATAAACAGCTAATTACATGAACATTAATTTTACTGTAATTGTGATGAACACTTGAAGGAGAAAAATGGGGTGAAGGGATCACAGGCAAAGAGGGACAAAGTGGATAGATGAAATCAATTATGGGGGCAATTGTGGAAACTCAAGCAAGGACATTAGCAGCTTATTTCCCTTGTTCAGATGATGCTAATAGGTCTGCAGACTATGTGGAAACTTAAAGATCGTACTAAATCATATGAATAATTATGTGAACATATACATATATCATAGGTAATTTATAATACAATTAATAATTGTATTAATCTTTATGTTAATATAATTAAGTTATATTCAGCATGGGGACAGTAAGAACCCAGGGATATTAAGATATTTGCTCAATGTTATAGAAATTAACAAAATTGCATTTCCCTAAAAATAATTTCTTAATTCATATTCTCATTTTGCTGCTCTATTTTCTCCCCACAGCTTGTCCAAAAGCCTGAACTTTTACTGTTTGTTATCTAATGTACATAATTTTATATTATGTGCTAGTTTATGGATATTCTGTTGGCAGTGAAGTAGAGAACCCGTTTTTGCTAATGTCACAGAAGTGACAGTATTTCCACTAACCCAAGGACCTGGCATACTATCAATTCTTGAGTCATTGTCCTTGGTTGAGGGAGGTCCGATGACTAGAAGCCCCCTTTCTGTCAATTAGAGAGTGGCAAAGATCTACAGATGTTTTCTAAATATAGATTAAGTGGTCTCACATAAGTTTTTCTACTCTAGGAAATGGTGGGATAGGAGAACCCAGAGAGGGGGTCACTTGGGTGGCCTAGTCAGTTGAGTGTCTGACTCTTGGTTTCGGCTCAGGTCCTGCCCGGCTCTGTGCTCAGTGCAGAGTTTGCTGGAAATTATCTCCCTCTTCCTCTGCTCTTCCCCCTGCTCACACACATGCTCTCTGTCCCTAACATAAATAAACAAAATAGTAGCTGGATAGCTACTCTTTTTTTATTAAAAAAAAAAAAAAAGGCACCCAGAGAGGATGTATTTTTAGTTTTGTAACTGGTCCAGCCTCAGATTTATGTATCACAAGATGGGACTGGGAAGTTCATTTTGGCAATCATACTCTTTTAGAAAACATTATATGCCACCTTTCATGATCATCAATGACTTGTATATCTTAGAAGGATAAGTGAATAGTTCTTAGTCTAACTTTGACCTAGAAAACCATGAGATTGGGTGAAGTCACTCTGTAAATTTCAGTCCTTGTGAAATCTGTGGCTTTCCATCGAGTTCAATACAGTGATGTATGAGGCTGAATGTATGTAGGGGCAACATCAGTCCACAGTGATGCCGAAACACGGCACTGAAAAATTATGGTCTTTGGAGTTGGTGGTTAGCATTTGGATCTCATTCTAGCCTCTTTGTAGTGGGACTTATTCTATTTCATTCTTACTTTTCTAAGCCTCAGTTTCCTCATGTAAGGCCAAACAATGACAAACCCATAGTATCCATTTCTTAGGATTGATGTAAGATTTGCAGTAGTATATATTAAGTGTTTTATATGTTAAGATGCTTAATAAATGTTGAGATGTTATATTTTTATGATGCATATCCCCAGCTCATCATAGTTTTATTTATTTAACTTTTTTTGTAGACTCTTCCCAAAATCCTTGATAAGCTAGCCCCAGCATTCACGATGAGCAGCTGCAGCTTTCTTGTGGAGAAATCACGAGCCTCCACTGCCCGGGTGGTGGTATGGAGAGAGATGGGGGTGTCTAGAAGCTACACCATGGAGAGCAGCTACTGTGGTTGCAACCAGGGGCCCTATCAGGTATGTGAGGCTCCAGCATAAGCATACTTTCTGACTAGCAGTGATATACTATAATTGGGGTGGGGGGGTAGTAGCTATCAAAGACCATTCATTTTTTCTTTCTCTCCTGAAAGTGGAAGAAGTCTCCACGTAGTCTGGCCCACAACCTGATCTTGCAGAACTAGTTCAATGATCGCCTTCACTGGCAGCACAGTCTGTGTTGATCCTGCAAGCAATTTGTACGTGCCTGCTGATTTGGTTTCTTAGTCATCTGTCCTGGCCATAAAGTGGCAGGGAGCCTCCCTCAGACATGCACCCCTAGCTCTTATGGAACCTCTGCCTGGCCCTGTTATGTGCATGGGGATCTCTTGTTACCTTTTACACCAGGCCACTAGTTCCCCTTGCATCATCAAGGTTGTAGGTTGGCACACACATACTGTCCTTTACATCTGTGTATTGTACGCCTCTATCTTATGTGCTTATCTAAATCACCAGCCCTCTGTTACCCTGCTGTCACCAGAGTACACAGAAGTGAGTACATGACATGCATCTGGGACTCAGGCTTTAGTGTCAAGGGAAAGGCTCATATAAATCACATTCTTCTTACAGCTATATTAACTGCATGAGCAGCTGGATAGCTACTCTAGCAGGCTACTCTAGCTGTTTTTCCCACTCCCCCACTAGAGGACTATAAATAAGGAACATTGTGACAGTGCCATGGTAATAGATTCTTTTACATTTGTTAGGCAAGCTGACAGACTTCCATTCAACCCCAAGGATACCTGGACCTTACCAGCATTAAAGCTCATTATGTTGGCTTTGATATTCTCCTGGAACAGCCAGGAAGCACTTGGCATCTACATGGTCCTGTGTTTGTGAAAATCTGTTAGCTATCAAAGGGAGTATAGGGAGTGACAGCTGATGAATATTATCTAACTTCCTACCTGGCCAAAGATACACAGGGCTATCGAACCATTGGTTGTGACCTATTATTTTTGTTAAATAACCATTTAGTCTAAACAATTGCTCAAAATAAATGTTCTGTTATAGAATTAATCAATTATTAGATTGAATTCATCCATTTTACCCACACGAATGTCAATGCAGAATAAGAAGAGATCATTCATTGATGGTGCATGGAATTAAGCACAAAAGACCTCACTTTTTCACTGATTAGTGGTGCTGCAAGCCACATACTGCTTTGAACCTGTGTGTCATGTTATCAGATACTGATAATCCTAAATATTCCATTCCTCCCCACTATATAAGAGTTTTGTAAAGGCCAAAAGAGAATGCAGATAGGAATGTAGTTGGAAGTTATATCATCAGGAATATGTTCAGTTTCTTGGCATTCAAAGCCCATAGGATTGGGAAAAATAAGCTTGGAAAATTGTGACTCTAAAGCCTTATGGATATAGGGGCCAATCGCTTGTTTAAAGGACAGCATGTATCCTTCACAGATCAATTGGATTGGTGACTTTCATTTATTTGTTTCTCCAAACACCAGTTCGGGCTAACAGCTTCCAGTCAGATAAGTATCATTGCCATTCACTATAAGTTAACTAGAAACTCAAAGTCCTCCAGAGTTGTTTGAAAACTAAATGACTCATAGGTTCAGGCCCCTACCAACCCTCCATCTTCCTTGTAACAAACACAGAGCTGTTACGAATGAGGGAGAATGAAAGAAGCTTGCCCAACGGGATGGCTTTCACATATCAGCTCAGCATTTGCCCTGTGAAATTGTCCATGTGGCCTTTGAATGAGGTCTTTGTAAGAAAAGATGGAGAAGGAATTGGCTAGAGAAAGCCCTAATGGTGCCAAGCCTGGTTTTGCTTTAACAATCCCATTCTCTATATGAAACACCTCTCTGAGTGGATTGGTTTTCTCTTTCCTTTTTTCTGTCCTTACAAACATTGTTGAGTAACTGAGCAGAATTGCAGACAGTGAGTAAGAAGATGGTGAATAATTTTACATATGGGGAGGGGAGCACCCCAGGGAAAGGAAGCCAGCCCAGAGTTGGGTGTTTTGGCGATTTTTGTTTGAGGTGTATAATGAAGTCCATGAGGTATAAAGCAGTATAGAAATTTCCATCCTGAACATATTGCAAATGATTTCTGTACATTGAGACTTAGTCCCAATTGAGTCTTGAGGTTATTATTCTAAGGTCATCTTTCCATTTTTTGTTTAGCATTACCATTTATCCAAAAGATGGAGGATACTTAAATACACCCACGAGGGGCATTCCTTCCTTCCTTCATAAGAATATAAATATTTTTGCAGTTTCTCTGGTTAACGCGGCTTTAAAGTAGTTCCAATCATTTCTCTCCCAGCACACTAAGAATCTGATTTGTTAGTATTGAAATGAAATATCATTTCTTACAGTGACATTTATGTTGGAACTGCATTAAAGAATATAAGCTATTACCTGCAAATAATTATTATTAATACGATATTTTCTCTTCTATTTTCCAGTCCATAGTTGGCTAATTTAAAAAAAAATCTCGCTTTATTTTCTTTGGAATATAGTCTCTACTGCTAGGTTATACAGTTAGATCCATAATTTGTGTCTAATATGGAAGTCCCACCCGCTGAGAGATTTACTTTACCTTTTAGGAACTGGCCCAAAGCTATTGAGGCTGTTGAAGGGAAAAGCCAAAATGGAATTATGCAGCCTCTTGGGACTCATTCTTTTAGAAGCGTCCAGTCTATGTGGGTAGCTGTGTGCTTCACACTGATTGCTACCTGGAGTCACATACATGGTGTGTTTGCACATACAAAAGTATATGACTGGGCCACATGGGCTGCTTGTGGCTTAGGAGGGCAATGTGAACACTCTCACCCAAGCAGCTGTCCACATGCTCGTTGGCAATGCTGCTGACTTGTGGGCGGAGTGGGTCTTAGTCAGAGGAAGAAGATGGATGACTCAAGGGAGGTCTAAGGTCTTAACTGATACATAAATCCCCATAACTGCACACTGCCTCCATGGACCCTCCAGCAATTCATCTGCTCCATCACCAACCGAGTGGTTTTTCAGTAACCCAAACCTATTCAACTCACGGTATTGTCCATAATCCTTCATTGTGTCTAGAGAAATCCTGGCTCCTTATCATGACAGGCAACCTTTTACAATCTCCTTCATTTTTTGAATGCTCAATACCTTGTTTAGCATAGAATACATGTTGAATCCATATGATGACTGACAAAGGAATGGGTAAATAAACAAATGGATGACAATTTCCGTGTGGAGTTAGATGATGATCCTCTCTGTCCGAAATGGATCATTAGAAAAAGAGGAGGAATTGCCATGGTACAAATGTGATTAGAAACCACTTTTAAGTGGAGAGTTTTAGAGACATTGCAATGAGTAATAATGGAAAATGTGTGGGTAAGAGAGGGAAGTGTACAAACATGCAATGAGGAGAACTTTCAGATCTATCGTTATCTACATGATTTGAGAGCACCCAGAGTAACGAGATTCTAGTCCAGGTCACTGTCATGTGGCCACATTCTCATAATAAATTATGTTTGGACAGAAGTATTTCTATTTGTGCACAGGGAAGATGTTGGAGTGAGCCTGCCAGATCTCTTTTCAGGACCAGGATGCTCATTTCCCAGCTGCTCCAGCTGTGTCCATCACCAGACATTGTCTATAGCTGATGGAAGTGGCCTTGACTAAAGCTATGACTCCTTCACGTGAGCATCATGCATCCAAAGGTGGTTCTAACGGATGTACTAAGGTCAGGCCTCCTAGCGCAATAGAGAATACTCCACAGGGCCATTCCAGATCCAGAACTCCCGTAGGATTGCCTGGGGTCTCTGTCACAACTATACTGTGGTTCAGCTTCCTTTTCTGCCCACTTCTGCTTTTTTCACCATTCACAGGTGTTACACTAGTGAGTGCTCCCCAAAAATCTATCTGCAGAGCAACCTATACCTGTATTTCAAAAAGGTCTCGGATTAGGAAACAGGCGTTGGAACTAAGTGCTTAGCTATCGAAGATGGTTTGGTAGGGATGAATTTCATACAGGAAACCTTACTTGGCTTTCAGGGCTCCCAGTGTCCTCTTCTTCATACTTTGCATCTTTAGCTGTTTAGGGAAGTGACCCCACACAGAATTGGAGACCACAGCTCAGGGCAGGGCCTCTTGCACTGCTGTTCTCCTGTTCCCTCCAGAAGGGAGGTTGGGTGTATTAATTTCCTGAGGCTGCCATCCCAAATAACCATAATTTGGCGGCTTAAAATCACACAAATGTATTCTTTCACAGTGCTGGAGGCCAGAAGCCTGAAATCAGGGTGCCGACTATGGTATGTTCTTTCTAAAGGCTCCAGGGGAGATTGTCCCATGCCTTTATCTTAGCTTCTGGTGTTTCTTGGCTCATAGATACATCACTCCTTTGTCCACCTTTGTCACTGCATGGCTTTTTCCACTTGTATCCCATTATCTTTGTGACCTCTTTCCTTCACTTAAAATGATTATTTGTTTCCTATTTTTGTTTATTTTTTATTGAAGTATCATTGACACACAATGTTCCATTAGTCCTAGGTGTATTTTATAGTGATTTGACAACTCTGTGTATTAGTGGTATTTCCTCTTCTTACAAAGATACCAGTCCTAGTGCATGTAAGGCCCACCATACTCTACTGTGATCTCACCTTAACCAATGACACCTATAGCAACCCTATCTCCAGATCAGGTCACATCCTGAGGTTGTGAGAAGGACATGAATTTTTGGGGAACATCATTCAACCTAGTACACTGGTTCAGGCAAGGAGGTATAGAACACACAGATCCAAGAACCAAGAATAAGTTTTTTTCTTTTTTTTTAAAGATTTATTTATTTATTTGAGAGAAAGAGATGGAGGGGCAGAGGGAGAGAGAGAATCCTCAAGAAGACTGCCCACTGAGCACAGAGCACAGAGCCCAATGTGAGACTTACTGTGTGTTAAGCCTTTTTTCACATATTAAAATATGCCATCTTTGCTACTACATGCCAAAACATTCTAAAGTTGATTTTACCATC